TGCAGAAAGATCACTGGAGGTGTGTGGGGGTGGGGGGAGTAGTAACAACCAGAGCCTGCAACTCACTTAAAACCCATTAAATCAGAGTTCCCACAAATGTAGGTACCCTTCCCCACTCTTCTACCCCAAGGGAGAGGGATTAGTGGATCATATGGCAAGTGTATATTTTACCTTTTTAAAAACTGCATTGTTTAAAAGACAGTTTGATATGTTTTGACATGTAAAGTTTTGATAAAGTAGACACATGTGAAGCAATCATCACAATTAAGTTTCATCGTCTATTTCTGAGGACTTTTAATCTTCCCATGTGTTTCCAATGTGTGGCCAAAGTTGGGAAACGTGGTGCTTTAAAGAGAGAAGGGGACTTGTCATGTAGGCCTAAATACAGAAACAAGTATTATGCTTCAAATTACTAAAGAAAAAACTAGTAGGATGAGAAAAAAATCTTTGCATCAGATGTAGCCATGATCACTTAAGCATAACCTGAGAAATGACATACAGTACTTTTATTGGATGTTTTAAACTTTGCTGTATGTAAAATAACTTTGAAGTGGATATACAATTTTAAAATACTCTTCATAAACACTATTGTAATAAAAACAGGAGCTCTCCTTTGAGCCACATGAAAATAACAGTATTTTTATTTTAGTAAAATAGAAGATAATATTTAATATTAAAAATATTGCAATGAAAATAAAACAATTTTAAATTTGCTGTTAATTTTAATTTCCCATTTAAATGCTTATTAGAGTATATTTCAGAATTTTTTTACTTAAAATTTCAAAGTCAGGTATGGTACCCCACACCTCTAATCTCAGCATTCTGGAGGCTGAGAAGAGGCAGGAAGATTCACAAGTTGAAGCCCATCTGGGACAATTTAGCAATTTACTGACACTATCACAATAAAAAGTAAAAAGGGCTGGAAAGATAGCTCAGTGTTAACCTCCTGGGTTCCTGTGTTCCCCAATACCAAAAAAAAATTTTTTTCAAGAAAGCCTACATCTAGCAAATTTCATCATACTTCCATTATGCAGATATTTTATACATAATCTTATCTGACACGATTCCCTTGTTAGAATTAATTTGAAATTACTTTGAAAGACTTCACCATCCTTATCTGAGTAAGTTTATCATCATAGTTATAATGGATTAGCTCCAAGAACTTGGCAATTTACTCACCCTCTCTGGCATTCTATGTATGCAATATGGGCATTAGGTTAGATTCCCTGAAAAAAATCTACCTACTCTATCAGTATAATTTTATAATTATATATGCAGAAATCCATCCTTCTATAATAGGAACAACCTCAATGTCTGACAATCAAGGTCCATCTTATGCTATTGGCTCTCATGTTGTGTTTCTCAATTTTGAACAACAGGGCAGATCTGTAGAGGAAAACAATCTTTGCAGACCTTCACTGTGGACCTAACTTATTTTTTTCTAAATGTACAACTACATGTAAATTCCTAAGACTCATAACCCTTATAGAAATACAGAATCTAGAAAAATTCAGAATATACTAACAGAAGTATGAAGCACAATTCATTATTTACTCTCTACCTATTGAACAGGAGGGTTGATGATTTTTTTCTTTCCTAATACATCTCTAGATAATAACTAAAAGTCATATATTCTTCATTAATGGGTGATAAATCAGTCCAACCACATATCATTCCATTCAGTTCTATTAACTAAAGGATAAAAATATTCTAAAAAGAATTTGGCTCAAAGACTGTCATTGACAATGTTTGTGGAAAGTTACATATTACACTATTAAAAGCTAATATACATTGATACTTGGAAAGAAGTGACTAATACCCAGGAGTTAAAACTTAAAAGAAAAAAACCTGTAAAGACTTAGTATTTGCCTCCAAACTTTTAATGGAATAAAAGTATAGCAAAATATGCCATTGGCTGATTTTTGTATTTTAAAAGCAAGAAGATTCCAACCTATTTCAGCCACTTGTGTGAAGTAACTAGTATATTCATTCAACTTAATATTAATCTCTCCATCTCAAGTCTTCCATACATCTTCATGACTATTTCTGACCAACTCAGCCTTACCCTTGGAATCTAATAATCAAATACTTTTTAAATGATTTTAAAAACTGAAAATTGCATCCCATTAAATAATTCAATGTATCTCAGGAAAAATAATAATAATATAGATTTGGAGACGATTATTTGGTGCTATATGTATACAACTATTTTGTAGTTAAAATGGAACAATGTATCAGTATTATTTAACAATTACAGTTCACAATGTCTCTTAAGTTACCACCAGAACTCAAACCATTGTTCATTTTAGTCTAATCCACAGATATGGGAGCATTAAGCCTCATTGTATCAAATAGTTCTAACTACAATTCTGAGCAAGTCTCTGATACTTCAGGTCTCAACATCTAGAAGACTTGGTTTACACTAAGCTACATTTAAGCCACATATATGAATTAGATTTGTATAGCATTTTTTCTACATTTTGGGAGCTCTATGTGTTACCAAACTAAACATTCTCAAAACATTAAAAAATCTAATATATCTCAACCCTATTTATACAATCCAAGACATATTTAGAGATATTTTCATAGAGATAAATCCCAGAAATTAAAAAAGGAACAAGAAATATTCAGCTGAATTAATAAATTAGAAAAAGTAGTAAATGAATAAATTCCTCCAATTTAGCATTTTGAAAGAACCAAGAGGATATGCAAACTGCTGACATATATAATAAGTGGAAAATATGACAATTAGAAATAATGGGTAGTCTACCAAATTTATTCAGTAATAATTTTGCTAACCACAAAACTATAATTTATATATGTGCATTAATTAAAAGTATAATAAACTGAGCAATAAAACATCTCAGATAATGCCACTGAAAATTAATTCAATGATAAAGAGAATCCCTACAAAATTCAAAGAACCATTGATGAAACACTTTCTAAATTTACATGTACTATCTCCAAAATAGATTCTGATGATTTCATTAGTGAGTTTTTTCAAAACAGCCATCCCATTGAGATGAATGTAAAGTTTCTGATATGAGTATCATTTCCTTACAGCCATCCTTTCCTTAAAGAAGGAAAATAATAGAAATGCTATACCATTCTCACTTTTGATAACTCTTCAAAATTACCAATTAAATAAAAAGGAACTGAACTTAAGTATGCAAAAAAATAAGCATCCAGCTATACAAGGACAACATAATACTGCAATAAATATTATGCCTTTCAGTATATATACATCTGACCCCACCAAAAATAGGTATGTACATAAATAAATGTGAAGGTGGATTGTAGAATTGGTAAAGCACAAAAGAAATAAAAATGACATATAATTTTTAGATGATTAAACTGAGTGACCACTCTATTCTACTATACATTTTATTTTGTGTATATATTTAAATTTTGGCATAATAAATCACTTATATTAAATGAAAAGAATCAAATGGCCAAGAGAAGAAACCTAAATCATCAGATTAAAAACAACTATATATTAAAAAGATCTACAGAACTTGAACCAAAATTTCTGATAATCTAGTTAATTTTTTTCTTAAGAGGAAAAGCACAAAAATTACACAATCAACCTGATATTTAAATGATAATTATGAGAATCATTCCTAATAAAATTAGGAAAAACAAATAATAATTCACAGTAATTTAATGTTGAATTGAAATTTAGAGTCAATTCAACAAGCAGAGAGCTCAAAATTTAAAAAGTATGCTACTAAAAAGAAAAAGATCAAAAGATCTAAAATTGTTCTTTTTTGCAGATTATAGTGTTCCATTCCTAGGACCATAAAAGAATCAGCTAAATAATAACCACAACAAATAATAAGCCAAATGAGGTATTGAGATACAAAAAATGCATGTTAGTATTGCTTTTCTAACTTTACAAAAACCAATTCAAATATAATAACTAAGTTTATAATACTGTATCTACACCTTCCTAACAGTGTTTGAAATATTTTGCTGCTATCAATCTACTTAATTCTTGCAACAACCCCACCATCTTGGTAAATATAATTAGCTGCATTTTGTTGATGAGAAAGGAAAATCCAAAAGAACAAGCAGAGGAGCAGAAATTCAAACCCAGAGGTTGCGGGTGGCCAGGGAGGAGAACCTACATTTACTTTCTTTATTGAATTCTTACAATAGGCTGTGTGTTCTTATACTGAGAATATTTACTGTTCATACAAATTATTAACTATGTATTTGTATGCGCGTACACGTAATATATATTTACACATTGTGTACATAGTATATATAAAAGGAAAAGTAATAAATACAATTTGAGTTCTTTGCTTGTGTCATGAGCTCATATATAGAATTATGATTAGACATCTCCCTTGTATTCAAAAGCATTAAATGATTTTTGTATCGATTTGCTTGACACCATGACTATCAAAACTTAAACAGTAAAGTTTCAGGGATGATAAACTTCAGTTTCTGCCAAGTAATTATGGACAAGAATAAAAGTTAGTTTATTCTATTTCAAAAATTGAAGAAACTAGCCCAAAATGAAGAGACTCCCCAAAGTAAAATTACCAAGGTACTAAATATATGAGGATATTTAATTTGATATCATTTTAAACATATTTAAATATGTACCATTGAAGTCCTTAGATTATACGTTTATAATTATACTATAAGAACATAAATGACACATGATTATCCGAAAGGAGCTTATATGTATATTTCTATATATAATCCTTCCTACAAATTATTTATAAAATGTTTGCTATAGCAGATGAATTATTTTCCAGACATTATACATTTTACCAGATTTTAGAGGAAAGTGATAAATAGTTCATAAGTTTACACACCAAGCATTCGCATATCAAGATAACAAGTTTAAAATAAAGAGAAATTCTTTAGTGATTCTAATTTTTTAATTAAAAGATTAAAACTTGAGTAAGGACTGGTCATTCCAGGCTCTTGTTTCAACACTCAGAAAGTTGTATTAATTATTGATCAATAAATACGGTGATATTGTAAGTAGTTCTACTCACCTCTTAGATACAATGCTTGGAATTATCCCAGTAAATTTCCTGATGATCTGAAATATGAGAGTGATACAGGAGGATCATCTAAATATACTTTATATATCATTTTATAATATATCAAGTCCACATGACTTTTAACTCATGCTTTTTCCAGACTTCCACAAAGACATCGCCAGACTCATAATTTTTATTTAATATGAAAATTGTCTAAACTCAAGAAGTAGCAGGTCTTTTATTTAAACACATACCACCTTTAATGCTAGGAGATTCCCTCTAGCTTGTCTTCCCTATACCTCAACCCTGCCTACACACTCTGCAGTTAATAGAAATAATTCACTCTGAACTCTCACTGGATATTTTCCTTAAACAAAATCAAGAGATGGTATTACTAGGTTACTATTTTTTAACGGGACTTTGAAAACTCTACATGTGAAAAACTTACATTATAATCTTTCAGTGTAATAAGAGGGAATCTATATGCTGAGACTTTTCAGTCCACATTATTTATCTTTATTTATTTAGCAATTATATTACCTATAGAAATATATTTATTTTAAGGTAATAATTACAAGGTTATTTCAGATATAATAGTACAATCACAAAGTACTTTTATAAAGCCAGAAAAACCCTTATCATTCAAAAATTCCTTATTTGTAAAAGATGAAGAAAATGAAATTCAAGGAAGAAGAAATGATTTGGCTAATATTTTATCTGAGAAGCAGTTCTATGAGTAGATGCTTAGTCTTATGGTTTCAGCTCATACTTTTCCCATGGAATTATTTTAAAATACATTTATTATGACTCTAATATATGGACACTGAGGATTTAGTAATAAACAAGAAAAGAATTTGACTTCATTAAACTTCATTCTAATTATCTTGGTTCATTAAAATATTAAATATATTTTTCCATCTATGTAATTAACATAGAGTGAAAATTTAGCCAAGATGTCAAGATTTCAGAATGCAGTTTTACTATGGCCAAGCCTAGTTCCCAATGACTATTCTTTCTTTAACCTTTGAAATATAGTTAGCCCCCAAAGTGTTTAGCTAAACTTCTGAGTATCTTTTACCTATAGATGGAATATTTTGTGCTAAGATAAACTTTCAAAATTGAAACGTTTTCCCACTGAATGCTTTAAAAGTAACTTCTATTTGCTTACTGATCTGAATCTGTATCAACTCCCAGGCTCAGTGTGAAGTTTAAATGGATGTTGTAGAAATTAAGAATTACAAACATGCAAATGAGTAAATAGATTCCTCCTGGAAGACCAAAATACAGACTTTGAGATCCATTCTGTAAATCATTTCTTAACTACTGTTTCCTATTATACACTGACTGCAGTGCTGTGCTCATAGTAAGCATTTGTAAAAATAGACTCACATAGTTTGAAATAGCAGATTGAATTTCTAGACCACAAAAACATTTTTCTCACTTCATTTTCATACTTCTTACCAATAAGCTATACATATGTTGCTGTTTAGTTGTATTATTTTATCACTTTGGAAATATTAATGACTTTCACATGAGGTAATAGGGATATCTTCTATATTATAAAAACTATCAGTTGAAATCTAGAAAACCAAGAGCCCCAAATAGTGTACTAAACAAAATGTTAGCTTGCCAGATTCTGCCTAAAATTGTAACAATTAACCAAAAGATATGTGGAATGTTTACTCAGTGTAAAATGATTATTAGGTTTCCTTGTGACCAACATCGAACATGGCTACTGACTGCATTCACTTGAGTATCCCTCTGTTACAACACAAAAAAAACTTCAGATTCCCTGTAAACTCCCTTACTGTGACTTTCAGCCTACTGAGTTAGTGAATGATTTCACTGAAAAGAGTCAGCTCCTAGAATAGACTCATCACAGAAGGCTAGGGAGAGATGTTCCTTTCATTTTAAAGAGGAGATTAATCCTGCACCTGGAGCATGATCACAAAGTTGGTGATCAATAGAATTGAATCAGGTTAATGCCTCTTAATTAGCCAGATGAATTGTTTTTTTCTGTGTCATAGCTAAATTAAAGAGCATTACATTCTCTTAGGCTCATACATGTAGGACATAAAGAACATTTTGTGGCAAAATAAAAATAAAATGTACATAAAAGTGGTTATAAATTATAACATATATTAAATATATGTAATGCATTATCTGGGGTATTTATTAAAAATGTCTGAACTTGAAATTTATGTCTTTGGCCACCTTCTTCTTACTTCCTTAAAGGAAGTAGATAATATTTTTGTCCAGTGGGTAAGGCAACCATAGGTTTTTCTCAAGCACTTTCCACTTCTACAATCAAATTTAATGCCTTCCTAAGGAAAACTTCAGTGCTTATTGTTTTATGTTATGATCTTATTTCTAATCACTGTCATTATACAAGTATAAATCTTGGTGCTAAGTTGTTAGTTTTTCAAAAATATCAACTATCAGTATGTCCCTTTTTTCACTTTTTACTTCAAAATTCTACACTTAATTGAAATCTTGAAACATGTGCATAAATATTACCTGTCATCTGGCTAGAAAAATTGTCAAAGATTGTCTTTTGCAGAGAATTCAAAAGTCAAATGAAACACAAGTGATAAAAACATTATTTCATTCATTTCAAACAAAGCTTTAGCAAGGAATCAAATATTTATAATATAAACAAGGCACGTGGATACTGATAATATTTTTCTCAAAATATACTGACCATATTTTCTTCTATCTATTAGCATGTGTTTGAAATTGGTTCATTAATTTTTTTTCATAATGTATTTGCTATAATAGGATTTTAGAAAGAAAAAGAGGAAGGAAGAAATGAACTGGGGAAGGAAAATTCTAATGATAGTGTTCACTATGCATTATTGAACAGTTATAAACAGGTAGGGATGTGACTTGATTTACCTTATTTGTGACATTATTCTGGCTGCTTGATAGGACGCGGCTGAAAGAGTAAGAATGGGGTGGCTTTGGAGAAATAGGGAGAAAATTTAGCGGCCTAGGTATGGTCCAGGAACAACATACTTATACTTTCACTTAGAGTGCAGTAGTAGAAATGAACAGAAGCAGAAGCAGCTCAGAGGTCTGGAGCATGGTCTGTGGAAGAGAGAACACATGATGACTCAGGCTTTGGTGCCATTTATTAAAAGGGTGGGTGACAGAAACATATCTGTAGATGGTGGAGCAAAATGAGACTAGAAGGGGAGACTGTTTTGTCCTTTTTGCCTATATAGGTTTAGAAACACTTACTATACAAGTTATAGTTAACACTATCCTTTCAAACACTACCCTTTCTACATTTCAATCAGTTTTGTTGATAATTAGAACAACAGCCAGTTCTTCCTTCTCTACTACCTCATACTGGGAGTGGCTACACTTGTGTCTCATGAGTAATTCCTATTGCTAGGCTCTCAGTCTCTCAATCTACCAGCTACTTTCCCACAAATCATTAATAATGCTTATGTGTTTCCTATCTTGACAAGTAATTCCTTTCTACCTCCAGTTAATGTCTTCCCTTTCCTTATACAGCTAAGAACTTCAAAAAAAAAAAAAGAACATGAACTTGTTCATTTTAATTCATTCATATCCTTCTCATCCTTTGTACCACTGAATGAGGGCTTCCACTTTGTTATGTTACTGAAATTGATCACAGGGAAATCCTGATTAAATTCCAACTGTGCCAACCCTGAAGATTATCTCCATGAGTTCTTTCACTGGCTCTTCATCCTCTTAAATGTAATTTTCTACAGGTTGCTGTTCCTACTTTTTTTCTTTCTCCTCTCAACATTTTGCTTTGAATCTATTAATATTTATTAAAAGCTGATGACCAACAAATCTATGTTGCTAATCGAGTGGATATATCCACTCCTGTATTCTGAACTCTAGGCCCACATATTCAAGTGTCTACATGACATCTCACCTGGCCACCATACTTCAAACACTGAAGCAATAAACACTCTTTTTAAACACTACTTACTTTTTCTGCAAAACCTCCCCTCCTATTCCTGTTGGTGAATAGCATCACTATCCATCCAGTAACATGAAACAGATTCCTGGAAATTACTCATATTATTATATTTTCCACAATGTCCAAATTGCACCACTGATCTAGACTTGTCAGTTCTACAACCTTTGTATCCTGCATCACACCTCTCCTACGCATCTCTTTCATTCTGATCTTATTTTTTCTCAGCATTTCCTGAATAGATCACCTAATCCATGCTTATTGTACTCACAAAGTTCTTATTCAGCAATTTTAACACTTTTAGAGAACTCACTGATTTCATGCCTCTAACTTCACTCTAGTATTCCTGTATTGTTAACTCTACTAAAACAGGTAGAGTTCAATAAATCATAATGAAAAATGAATTAATGAATAAATGATTTATCCCAAAACCATACTAGAAACAGTAGTGTAACTAAATAATAGTTTAAAATAATCTATGATTTTCTACTCTCATTTTACAGTCAATCCTTTTAAAAATAATTACTTATTATTACATACACAGACTAGTATAAAGAGAATAAAATGTCAACATAGGACAAATCTATTATGTCAACTATTGACAGACATAAGCCACTTCTTGGACTTTGGCTAGAGTGTTAAACTGGGGAAAACAATTGCAAGTTAAACTCTGAACTTCAGAATTTAGGGAGAAGGAAAGCAACCAAAATAAACTGTATATTCAGCTTAAATTAAATTAGCACAATTTCAAGACACAGCTTAAAAATTAGTTGTCTTGCTTCTTATTACCAAAACTAACCATAAGAAAAGCATATGAACTGCTAAAAGTCTTCAGCAAATAGTAATTTTAAAAACATATATAATATTCTTCATGTGGCCAAGCTAGAATTACAGTACACTTACCTAGTGGTACATATGGAAATGATTTGCTAGATTGTTTTATTATTTTACCATTTTTACCTATAAATACAGTCTCATGCTAATGAATACAAGGTGTCTCACACCCATAAGATATGCCCAGACAAATCTAAACCAGAAACCTATCACACTCCAGCTGTTAAACTTGGATCCAATGATTTCCTGCCACTTTTCTAAAAATTGCCATAATAATTTCCTTTGAGACTTCGTTTTCATTTTAATTTTTCAAATACATAGTGGTATATAAACTCATCTTTGTTTTAATATTCAAATAATACACACGCATTTGAATAAAAAAGTTCTTCTCTGCTCTTCCCCAATTTTATATTTTTTCCTAAAAATGTTTGTGTGGATATGGGACACATTTTCATATGTGGTTTTCAACATGCATACAATTTATAAAATATATTATTCTAAGTCTTGTACATTCCTTTAATTGTGAGACTCAGGTATTATTGATAGAAGTGTAAACTGGATAAAATTGTTGAAGAACAATTTTCAAATTTAACTTTTAACTAGTAATTTCACTTCTACAAAGGAAGGCATATAAATTGGTGTTTGTTACAGAATTCTTCAATAAAACAGGAAATGACATAACATTTAAAAGTTGGCACTATTTAAATATATTATGATATGTCCACATTATGAACTATCATTCTACTGTTTAAAAGAAACAGATGTAAATGTGGCACACTTATGTGCCTATAATTATTTCACATTGTTCTTCTGTAAAGACCACCAGTCCTAAAAAGTTATTTGATGTCAGAGATAAATTCAAAGTAATAAGAGTTGTTAGTAGGTGTTATGGCTTGCATTTAAATGTCCTCACAAAGCCTCATCTGAACATAAGTGAGGTTTTTTCAATGGTGACTGGATCTAGAGTGTGTGACACTAGGATTGATTCATGATGTAATACTAGGCTCAAGGGCACTAGTGCTACCAGCCCTAACTAACCTGAATAAGATATATGCGATAGAAAGATATGTGGTCATTCCTTGTTGCTTTCCTACCTCCTGCCCACCATGAACTGTTTCTCCTCTGTGACACCACCGGCCTTGGAGACAGGAGATTATGGACTGAAACCTCTAAAAATTCTCAGCTAAATAAACCTTTTCTCCCTTAACTTTGGGCATCGGGTATTTTGCCTCAGCAACAAAAAAAGTAACTAAGATCATAGGTTTCAGATTCTCAAGGGGATCAGAGAAATTATTTCTTTGAAATCCCCCTCTCAGAAGGCAGTGACAAAGCAAGCACTTGGCAAATTGACTTTGACCAAGATATTTGCCATTTCTCAACCTAAATTTCCCAAACTCTAAACTGCTGTTATAATGATGATAAGCATTAAAGTACCAAGCACATATAGCTGCTCATTAAATGTATTTTCAAAGTATAATGAAAATTCCTCCTTGAGAGATTCTTTAATGAACATAACTAAATTTATCCTCTTGGTTCTTTAATACAGACTAACTTAATTCACATAAGAAGTAAGGACACTTTTTTTAAATAAAACACCAGGTCTTTGAATAAGGATAATAATTTATTTTCTAAGATCACATTGTAAGTATATATAAATATCAGTAATAAACAGAAATCTACTTTACTTTTTTTTCAGTTTTTTTAAACAGGGTCTCATTATGCAGTTCAGGCTGTCTTTGAATTCACTATGTACCCCAGTCTGGCCTTGAACTCACAGCGATCCTCCGGCCAGAAATCTCTTTTGAATTTATATTAAGTTCATGTTAACTTACTGTTAAGTACTAATGTATTTATAAAAGACAAGATATATACCTGAATGTAAACGTTTAATCTTAATATTGTCAATATAAAAATAACCTTATTTGGAATTTTGATGTTTTTTCCCTTTGATAATATAGGAGTTTCCAACATGCTTGCCATTTGCTCATATGTCACTTTCTGTATTTTATATTTATTATCAGGATATAAAATAAAATATTTTCTTGTAGTATATGGCCTGCTTTTCCTTTTTATCACTTACCTAATGAATTTTTACCAATGGAGCATACCAAATAAATGTGAATGGTGAAAAACAAATGTATTATGCATACATTACTATAATTACGCAACAGGAGATTGAATGGTAAAGGAGATTATGGTAGAAGTTTCAGGAATAAAAGTTTTGCTACCATTTAGCTCTCACACCTTTTTCAATCACCATCTTCAGGATATATTTTGTACTGAGGAATGAAAAGGGCTTAGACTTTGAAGATGGGAAAATGAGAGCTTTGACTATGTGCAAATAGGCAAGGTCATGGTATGCCTTATATTAAATTACCCAGAGAAGAATACAGACAGTAACTTAAATATCTGGATCCTCTACCAATGTAAGCCAGTCCTGATTTATAGGAAGTAAGGTCAAGGAGCTGATTAATGACTGCACTATATAATGCTTGGGACTAATGCATGTATCTGCAAAGCAAGCCCAAGTGCCAAATTATTAAAACATAATTAATGAAATGGAGGCAAACATACTAGATGTAAAATATGAGGAGGAAAGAGAAAAAATTGTGAACATTCACAAAAAGAGCTTAAGAAAAGAATACACTTGAGAAATACTTTTAGATGAATGATATAAATATTTTAAAATATTCTCCTCCTCTCAATGAGAGTAATAGGACTAAATATTGCACTTAAAAGAGATTAAAGGAGAGGAAACAATTATTCTGTGACTAAAGATGAACTCACAATCTTATCAGTTAAAGATAGATTCCAATGTGGTACTTGCATCAAAAATGTCATTCAGGGCAGGGGATTTAGCTCAGTGGTTCTGTCACCTGCTTTGCAAGCACAAGGTCCCCAGTTCAATACCTGGTACCAAAAAAAAAAAAAGTCATTCGATCTACTTCACATGTGCTTTTGAGTTCAAAGAAAGAAAACTTACCTGATATTTCTTGTGAAATATTTTTCAAAATCAGACTGAATAAAAATGTTACAAGATGAGTAGTCACACAAATTGCCTCTTAATGGCCCACCTGGGTAGGACTCATTATCTCCTTTTTTGCTGTTGGATAAATGGCGGTTTAAAGGGTAAGGCACTAGCCCAGAGAGAGTCTGCCACTACACTTCAGAGCTGGAATTTAAATTTCCATTTGTTCATTTCAGCTTTAACAATCTAAAACTTTGCAGTTGCTTTAAAACCCTTGCATAAAGATATCATTTATTCATGGAAATAAATACCAGCATTTGTACCACAGTT